TGCAATCTTCAATGGTGTTAATTACATTTGGAGTTATAGAACAAAATCTAAAACAAACTAAAAAATTGCAAATAGTAAGTATTACCTTGGTATGGCAGTTTTACCCTCAGGAGAGAATATTTAAAAGTGGTTAGGGGTAAAAAACAGAGAAATGGAAAAAGAAGAGATGAGAAGCAAGACAGGAACACAAAATAAAGTTGTTCAAACTTTAGGGAATTGATGAGGAAGACAGGAAGGAAAAAGAAAATGAAATAAAATAGGAGCAGAATAGAACAGAAAAACTGGAAACAATGTTCACACATAAAAATAAAAACAAGAGGAAAAATGGAAATAAAGAAAACAAAATAATGTTTACTTCAAGGTGTGCCTCTGTGTTCACTGGTAGACAGATTGCGCCCACGGGGCTCAGATCCATGTTGACTAATCCCAAAAAACCTGCTGTACATTTATAGCAGGGCAATGGATAATCTCAGGAAGCCTGGACCTTTAGTTCTGAAGCTCAGGTTGGTTCGTGGCTGAGGTTTGAACCCAGTTTGTTCAATCTGCAACACTTCTTGTGTCTCCTGGCTTGATCTTGGACACCTGCTGGCTTGAATTTTACCTTGACCTTCCGCTGGCTTGAAAATCAGTTCCACCTTATCCTGGTAGAGCCTGCCCACAGCTGCTCTGATTTCCAAGTTCACTTGGCTCCTCTACAGGATGGCTACCAGCTAGTCACCCTCTTCTGGGGAACATCTAAACCTAACTTACCAGCCATTAGAGTCTGCTGTGTTCACTGTTGTTTCATTGGTCTGTTTCTCCACGGAGACCTCTGTGGTTGTCTGTAGTCACAATGTGTCTGCAGTTTTCAGGTGACCTTCCCAATCAGAGTCAGGGAGAGAGAGAATATGCTGCTTACCAGCTATTTCTTTGTTGAAGTCTCTCTCCTCACTCTCCCTGTGGACCTCAGTTCTTGCTTCAGATCCTTGCTGGGTCCCAGGGATCCACTTCCCTCCTTTTCTTCTTCATGTTGGTATATTCCAGCATCTGGACACTAACTCTCAGAGATGCTATGTTTGCTGTTCACCATTCCATGATCTTGCACTGACACTCGTTCCTTTTACCTCCATATTCTCTTAGTGGTTATTTATTTATTTATTTATTTATTTTTGTGACAGGGTCTCACTATGTAATTGAGACCGACCTGGAACTCACTATGTAGCCCAGGCTGGTCTCGAACTCACAGCAATTTTTCTGGCTCACTCTCCCAAGTGCATGGGAGTGCGCCACCATGCCCGGCTTCTTAGCGTTTTGCTTTTTTTTTTAATTTTTCTGGTTATTTAGATCATTTTAAAATTGGGGCTCAGGAGTAGAGCACTTGCCTGCCTTGCATGAGAACCTGGTTTATATCCATAGCACTTCTTCAATGATCTTCTTGGTCAAGAATACTATGTCTTCCTCTGTAATGTTTATACATCTCCTAAACTTTTGAGGAATTACATCAAAAAAGGACTAAGGCAGTTGGGACAGCTCCATGTACAGGCCTTCATTCTCATGAGTGCTTCTGTTGCATCTGGAGCTCTGAAAACAGCTTGAGGGGTGCATGGGAGTGTTTAAGGGATTACAATTCAGGTTCTTTCTGCTTTCAGACCACCTCCATTTTATTGCTCTTAGTCTCCCTATTTCAACCTTGGATTCTTTGTCTAGAATCCACAGCAACCTTTCTTTGGAATCTGCTCGTCCCCAAACCTTCCATTTCTTCTAAGACTTCTTCCTTTGAAGCCAGCACCTGGTCTTCAGGTATCATTTGGCCACTTGAACCCCAGCCTCACTAAGGTCTTGTACCTGATCTTGAGCCATGTCTACTGCCTCCTCCCTACTCTCTGGATGATGCTTCTGCACCCCGGCCTGGAGATTCATAGGCAGGATGGTCAGGAACTGCTCCAGCACCAGCAGCTCCAGGTTCTGCTCCTTGCTGTGGGTATCTGGCACCAACTACTGATGGTAGAGCTTGTGGATCCAGCTCAGAGCTTCTCAGGGAGTCCTTGGTAACAGAACTACCTAAAAAGTTGGCAGGAGGCCTCCTGGCCAGAAAAGCTGTTCACTTGAAGGTAGGATTCTTGGTCTCAGAGAGGTCCCTTTACTTTACAATCTTAACTCCATCCCATTCCTCTGTTGAAGCCATTCTGGAGTTTAGAAGGCACAAGCCAGCCACTTCAGATTCCATCTTTTAGAGGTTTTCCCACTCCAGTGGGGCAGTGTGCAGTTCTCTCTGGACCCTCGGAGACTCAGCGTGTCCTGGTGAGAGGGAGAGGTTGGTGTGACCACCTGCACAAACTCCAAAGCCAGGAGACTGAATCCTCATGGAGCCAGCCGGTCCACCAGAGGCCCAGAGTCACCCAGAGGTCCCAGAAGCTCAGATCCATCTCCAGTAACATTTATTTTGTATCTGCTGTGCCATACATCCTGAATAGAGAAGGGATCAAGAGATACAGTTCTCTTATAGAGTGAATTTTGTTAAGAGAAGGTGAGATTAAATGGTTAATAAAAAGTTTAAAGCAAATAATGAAATGATCGCAAAGTGTGATAAGAACCAGTAAGGGGAGAGGAAAAAGATGGAGACAATGCTGCTTTAGAGGCTTTAAAGGCTGTTCTGAGGATAACTATTTGAACCAATGACTGATGAATGGGAAAAAAATAAAACCTCGGTTATGCAAACACCTGGAGGAAAAGCATTGCAGTCAGGTAAAAGGGCATGTTCAAAATGCTTCACATGCAGCAGCTTTGAGTGTCTTTGAGGTAGAGCTGGATCTGTGTGAACACGAAGGAGAGAGCAGAGCGGAGTACTATGGGGCTTGGCAATCAGGAACAAGGACGAGAAGAGTTGTGGTCTCATTATGAAAGCAAAGGACAGGTACCATAATTTGACTTGTATTTTCACAAATTTATTCAGGTCATTTTGTGTAGAATAGATTTGAGGAGACATCTAGATAGTATAATACTAGTTACTAAATCCAACTTAATTGTAATCTGTAAATGATTTATGTCAGTGGCCCCAAAGAACTTCAGATTATCTCTCAAACTTCGTATACTTAAATTCAATTTAAGCTGTTTCAAAAATATTTTTGTTTTTGCAGATCACATGACCATCTATTACTATGGTATTACTGGTGGTTAATATAAATGAATTGCAAAAACATTTTTTCCAAATATTTTTTATGTCCTTGGTACTATCACTGTTAATACAAAGACAAAAATAAATTTTCATTTCCTAGAACTGGCATTTCTCTCAACATTGTCTGGCATGAGCTATAAAAATGACAACTGTTAGCCTCCAAACTAAAAAAGAGAATGCCAACTACATTCCTCCCCCCAAAAAAATTATAAGAACAGCCATGTACAGCTGAAACATTCCAATAAAAAAGTGGTAATATTAATAATACAAGCAATTGAGCAGTAGGCTAAATAGTAAAGAACCACAGTGAATAACAAAAATTTCAATAGTTGAGGTGAGCAAAAAATTAGTAATTTACAAAGACTGTATCTCAAAATAAAAAATTAAGAGGGCTGTACATGTAGCTCTGTGTAAATAAGCAAACTAGGTGTGGTTTTGCATGCCTGTAATCCTAGCACTCAAGGGGCTGAGGCAGGAGGATCACAAGTTTCAGCCTCATACAAGCAACTTAATGATTTAGTAAGATCCAGTCTCAAAAGTTAAAAACATTTTTGAGATATAACAGTTAGTTCAAAGGCCCTGAGCTCAATCAATCCTCAGTACTGAAAAAAAAAAAGGAAAATATGAAAATGAGTGGTCTCTTTAATTCTAATAATATGGTTAAGGTTACCACATATAAATCTTTCTTGTTCACAAGTAGGTATTAACCTTATATTTTTGAAAGAGTGATACAAGTACTCCTTGATTGAGATGGAGAGAAAGTCCTACTAAGAAGTATCTTGGTCTACATATTATTTATATCTGTTCTCATTTCTGTGTTTTCAGTGGACATTGCTTGTAAGTATTTATCTTTTATTTTTCCACAAAATTAAAAAGATTGATTCAAAACATTTATTGGTAGGAGTTTATTTCTTGATTCAAAACTTACGAATATATTTTAAGAGTGTTCTACAATAAACTGAGTTCACATAGTTGATATAATTAGATTATAGCATGGGTGATCCAGAATACTTAGTATTGACAAATCAATTCACATCACTCTGTCAAAACAAAAACCAATAACACAAGTCACTATTTCATAAGGATAATGAAAATTATGCAGTAAGCATCTTTGTACACAGACACAGAAAGAGGCACACTTGTGATACATATCAGCTTACATGGTCTTAGTACCTGGAGGTAACTCCATGTAGAAAGAGTGCTGTGTTTTCATTTCACAGTCCTAGAACAATGCTTTTTTCTGGCGGGGGGTTATTGGTACATTTTAGGTATACAGTACAGTTACATTCATTACTGGGATCTTGTACCTTTACGTGACAGGTCTTGGTTCTCATTTCTTCCCCTTGTCCCTGACCTCCCTTCGACCCCTCCTCCCCTCCCCATTTAAAAACACTTTATTTCCATTTTTTTCATTTTCTCATATTTTTTCTTTCCCCTTATTACCCTTTCCCTACCCATTCCACTTTCCCTACACTTTTATCCCTTTTCTTCCTATTTCACATTGTTCTTAGATCATTTCTGAAGAGTGTCTAACTCTGTAAGATTTGTAATTTATAGCTAATACTGCAGTAATAGCCTGCTGTTTCACAATCATCTTTAAATTGCATACTATGTATAGCTAAAGGTTTATCATTGTCATTGATGCCTTTACCCACCCATAGGTAAAGGAAAAATCCAATTTAAAGTGTCTGAGGCCATTATAGCACGCATTCTTTCAAAAAGGAAAAAAAAAAAAGAGCACAGAATTGCAGCTGCAGGACAGGATAATTCCGTGTCTCCATGACATCACAAACGATTGACAATGCTTCATATTTCCATTCTCCTTATGATCCGAGTTAGCATTTTTTTTACATCAGTATCTCTCAACATCAGAAGTGACCATAATATGTGATATCTAAGGGTTCAAAATAACAAGACCATGACAAGAGTCAAGAAAACTCTATATCCTGTCTGTGTGTGAGGAATAATTTCATCCTTGTACAGGTCACTTTTGTTTTTCCCTGGGCTGCATACCTATGGTAAAATCAATTGCAGAATTTTGGAATGAGACCACCATTTTTGGCTTAAGACAGGTAGGATCCTTCTGCTGCTCACAATGAAATGCACTTCCCCTGAAACACTTTGGTAAGTAGAGAGATGCCTGAGATTAAAGACACTGAGAGGAAGGCAGGAAAGGGTAAATGCTGAGTTAACAAAGTAGAAAATGGAGGAAAACTTTGAAAGCCAGCATGTATGTATGAAACAACGATTTCATGAAAACAGGGTGGTTCAACCCCCTAGAGAAGAGGAACCCGGGATTTTTCACCTTAACTTTGTTCCTCCAATATTACAGACAAACAGTGGGTTTTGACAATTTATAGAAACATTTGAATCAAACAAAAAAAATGTTCAAAGAACACACGGACCCAAATGTATGCACAGATACAATAAAGTTGTAAATGCAGGCTGATTGACCCAAACCTTGAATGACCTATGGATGCATTAAAAAAATTGATTGCTCAATATGAGGTTATAGGTAAGGAATGAGATTTGTGTTTGATGATGAGATGCAGGAATGGCATTGGAATTTTTTTTTTTTGTATAGAAAACAAGAGTGTTAATGCTATGTTATATAACATTCATTGTAACACTTCCACTCACTTTTTATTTTATGATTTTCTTTCTCCCAGTGAGTTTCTTAGGCTGATTCCTGGATAATTTGATGGTATATTATTCGACATAATTGTAAGTAATAAATGCAGAATAGGACTAATTGTCGTTTTTCTCAATTTTTGAAGATCCTGACTTTAAGGACCTTGGAGTTTTGAAGCCATTGCCAGGTTGGTAATGTAGATATTCAATAATGTTCAAAGATCTTTGTTTCCTGCTGTAAAACATACTTTTGGTTCATTATTCAAGTTTCATTTTTGTGTATTGTTTGCTGTTTTATTATTCAGCGTGTGAGTTTGAGATGGGCGGCCCAGAAGGAATTGTGGAGTCCATACAAATTTTGAAGGAAGGCAAAGCTTCTGCCAGCGAGGCTGTGGATTGCAAGTGGTACATCCGAGCCCCTCCACGATCCAAGGTGAGTCTTAAGGTAAAACTCAGATGGATGGTTGACTTGGGAAAGACTAGATTACGCATGGCTTTGAAACAGTGTCTGGCCATCAATCAGACATCATAAAATTCAATCATAAGCTATCATTTTATTCTGGTTTGGAAATGCACCTCGTCTTCCTTGTCTGGTCTGACCTTGTGTGCTATGTACTACAATAAGCGGAGTGTGGTGAAGAAATCATTTAACAACCTAGACAAGAAACTCTAAAACCATCTAGTCTTTTGAAAAAGAGGTTGAAATGTTAGGCATGAGCAAAAGTTATAAGTTTAATTACATTTATTCCCTTTCATCAGTATCTGTAGTTTATTTTTAAGCTAAAAATCATGTCTATGAAAGAAATGGCCAGGAATTACAGAATCATGAATCTCTGGCATACAAAGTACTGATGAGATAAGACTAGGGACAGTAGAAAAGGGATATGGGAAACAGTGTGCCCTTTTAAAGGAGACAGTCGCTTTGCAGCTGCCTGTTAAAAGTTTCTTGGGATTATAATAAGAAAATTTGTGGTCAGCATTACCATTTTTTCCGATTTGTTTTCATACTACTAAAAATCTATACTTTATGTTGATTACCCTGATTTTATAGTGCAATACACTATGAAAATTTGAGATATCATACGTATCACACTAAATGCAGACTCACAAAACTACTTAGGAAATGGTTCTTTAGAGCAAACATGTTCATACTATTTATGGATCTCATTTCAGACATATTGAGGATGTGTAATTTGTGGCAGTAACTGTAAGACGTGTTAGGTATTGATTATTTACATTTTTTCTTCCTTTCATTCTCATTGCTCAGTTACAGAATTGCAATAAAATATTGCTGGTTTACTAGGTTCATAGTAAACTTTATTGAGATTGAAACATTTATTTAATTGCTTTAGTGACTCTATAAAGTGTCAAGCACTGTGATAGAGAAATAAAAACCATGCTGGCTGGCCCCTGTCCTTAGGTTTTTAGCTTAATACTTAAACAAATATGTAATTAAAACATCCAGAAAATAAGAAAAAAAATCACTGAGGTGTTGATATGGATACACAGAGTGAGGAAAAATACAGGTATACCTAGCAGGGTTTACAGAAGTGGAACCAAAGGGTAGCCAGCTCCACCGTGGAATCTGTTTAAGAAACAGTATTGCATCAGGACAGCAAGTAGAGAGAGGTTCTTCGGGCACAGGGACAGTGTCTGTGTGTCAGGGAACCATAAGAGAGCACATTTTTCAAGAATGAAAGCAACAGCATGTGACTCTATTAAGCACGACGCTGAAGGTGGGGTGAGTCATCAAACTGAAGGGCTCTGTGGGCCTCCCCAAAGAACTTGGCCTTTATCAGAGGCCTGTTAGCAACACATGAAAAAGAAAAGTAGGAAAGTGATGTGGCTAGACTCATTTTAGAAGTATAGTGCTTCCCTGGGAAGAAAGGATAGGGGAGTTAATATGGAACAGAGCCTGAGCCAGATCTGTAGCAGGGATGCCAGTGGTTCAACCCTTATGCTGGTAGATGGGTAGGACATGAGAAAGCACATACAGGGATATTCAGGCTGAGGAGAAAGAGTCAACCTCTGAGGGAGCTGGCACTTCAGGAAAACACCTTTGCCTTTACCTTGAATTTGCCTCTGGGGTTTGCAGTCTAAGGGCAGAGTGGTACACGCCCCCCACGTTTGTGAGATCAGAGATCAGAGATCATGATCCAGCTTCCAGCTGTGACACTTACAGGCCTCTCTGCATCACAACAAGTCTTTGAGAAACTAAGTTGCAGTATGGAGAAACACTATTTTTTTTTTTCTTAAAACCTTTTGGAAACCTAAAGCCATAAATATCTACATGGATTATCATAGAGCTAGATTTCATATTAGTATGCTTTCCTACATAATTTGGGGAGTCACATGCAAGTGCTTTCAATTTTTCTTAATCTATACACATGAAGGATTTAAAAAAATATTTTGTAAATAAGACTAAAAGATATAATACATAACATGAAATAAGTATAAAAGGTGAAAATGGAAAGGGAAAGTATGGGGTTTGGGAAAAAGGAAGAAGAAAATGGAATTAATATGAGAAAAAGGAAAAATGGAAACAATGTCTTTGTAGATAGGGAGGGGTTGAAGGGAGGACAGGGGAATGAGGAAAAAATAAGAACCAAGATGGGATTATTTAAAGATGCAAATTTCCAATGATGAATGTCATTATACTGTATGCCTAAAATATACCAATAAAATACATTTTAAAAATGAATTAAATAAATAGAACCTTATAAAGAATGATCGCTGAAGTTTAAAGCTAAGAATATTAAAATGTACAGTAATTTTAAAAAAAGATTTTGTGAGCAGGGAATATGTATATGGCAACTTACTGCCATAACCAGCATCTTGTCATTGCAGTGTAAGTGAAAGGTTTTTTTTATAAGAATGTGAATGCACACCTCTATTCTCCAGCCGGTAAATAGGCTGTCTTTTGTACAATCCCAGAACCACCATATTGACTGTACCTGTCTATTATAGAATCTGGCATTCTCTGACCCATGGGGGAAGCTGCCTGCAGAGCTGAACAAAGATAGCTCTATTGGGAAAGGCTTTCTCTGCTGAATTAAAGGTTAGAGGACAGGAAGTAGCTTTGAATGCTGTGGAGATAAGCAAGACATAAATGTTACTGACCATGTGGGATTTCCATTTTTATGGAGTTGCTAGCAGTTTACGAAAACAAACTATCACAGCACAAATTAAATTTGAAATAGCTCGTGGTGAATATTTGAAAGATACCTTGCAGGACTGAACTGTGTTGCACAATGGAAGTGCTAAATAGCTTGCATTCTATTCAAATTTATATAAAGCACAAGTTGCTTCTCAACTTTTGATAAGTAGAAAATATATTGATATATACTTTATTTGGAAAAATGAGGGATGGTCTGCTTTGATTAAAATGTGATTAATGCAGATTTCTGAGAATTTAAAAATAAAGAGCCAAAAAGAAGAAAAAAGAAGAAAAAGAAAAAGAAGCTAAGAGAACATGGGAGATCTGTTACAGATCAGCTCATTAAAGATGAATAAACTGAGATAGAAAAAAAAGTTCTCTCTGGGTAGACCATGTAATGCAGAAATATACCTCTATGAGCATATATTTTGCATAAATATTCTGGAGCAGTGTGGTGAAAGGCTATTATTATGTCTATTTCAGAATTTAATCCCAAAAAGAACCACCAGAATGAATCGGGAGATGATATGAACTGTACTTGTATGATGTCCCAACCCTAGTTTTCTGGAGCTACCAAGTGCCAAGACAACATATCTGCTATTCAGTTAAAACCCATGAAAAAAATAACCTGATGTATATCTAGAAGAATGACATAATAGCAGTCTTTATCCATTTGAGAGACTGTCATATAAAGAGGAATCTGCATAGTTTTACATACTTTAATTTATTAGAATTTTTGACACTAGGGATATATAGCTTTCAATTCAATATCGAGAAGGTTTTTGTTTTAATAATGGAGTTCAAATGAGATTCCAGAGGAGGAATCCAAGCAGAGTTTGGCAGGGGTTTTGCATAATAATTAAAAATCAAGTGATCTTGGCAGAGATAATATGAAAGGCCTCTCGAAACCAAAATTCTGTGAATCTGTGATAAGTGACTTGCTCAAATATTTGGCTAGTTAGCAAAAGAGCTGGAATAAGACCAATATCTCCTAATTTCTGGTCCAGTTTGATGTCGCAAAACCATACTATTTTGGGAAATGATCAAGTTTGCTATGAAAGGATAGGCGGTAAATTTTAAAAACTTTCAAAAAATGAGAACTAAGACATGTCATGTAGAGGTACAAATTCCCAACAATGAATGTAACTGTACTGTATCCCTAAAATGTACCAATAAACTCAATTAAAGCTGAAAAAAAAAACTTTCAAAATTGTACCAAGAAAGGCAATTTAGTGATCAATGTTTGGGGAGAATAAAACTGGAGCTTTTATTATTTACCCATCATTTAATACTTAAAACTCACTTTTAATTTCTTATCTAATTCAAAAATGTTTTGAGTCAAATTATAACCAGTTAAACATAAATCTTGATTAATAGCTGCTATCAAGAAATCACACAATAACAAATGTTGGTGGGGTTGTGGGGAGAAAGGAACCCTCCTCCATTGTTGGTGGGAGTGCAGACTAGTGCAACCACTATGGAAATCAATATGGAGATACCTCAAAGAGCTTGGACTGGAGGTTCCATTTGACCCAGCCATCCCTCTGTTGGGTATCTTTCCAAGAGAACTAAAAGAATCATATCACAGAGAAGTATGTGCACCCATGTTTATAGCGGCACAGTTTGTAATAGCTAAATCTTGGAAACA